CATAGAACCTATCACATGATTGTTACACGAACCAAGCTCTGTATGAGAAATGCTACGCAGGACAACCGGCCCTACCTTTGAGGCACACCACAGTAGCTTGCTCAGGTAACAAATGTACCCTGAGCCTTCTAAACTGGTCTCCTGCCCCAGAGGTCTTATCTTCAGAAGCAAGACTGAGCTGTGAAATACAGGCACCTTCAGTGGGTGAAGAATGTCATTGTATCCTTTGCTTCAGGCAGGAAAGTGTCTTTGGTATACTCTGGACCCCCTTTAAATAAGTATTGTTGCCGCAGACCACCAAGACTTAACTCAAAATTTAAAACCCTAAAGTGCTTGAAAAATTTATTTAAAGTTCTCATGAAGGGTCTTCAATGCATTTCAATGAATCCATGTCATGAGATGTTATAAACTCATTTAAGTTGATAAATACTTCTTGAGCTGTAATGCGTACCAACAAGGAGATGAACAGTATGTCTCTGAAAACATTTCTCTCATGCTCATATCAAACGTAGCACAATAAGGTCACATTTATTATGTCTGTGCTTTTGTCCAGCTGCAGTGTAAAGTAGAAGGACATGCAAATTCTTTCTAATAATTGTTCCTTGATGTTGGCTGACAAATTGTCAATTCACTTCTTAACTGTGTCATTTGACAATGGTATTAAGGAGAGTTCCTTGGCAGCTTTCTCATTGATTAATGCAGAAGCCATGATTTTTGCAGCAGGTAATATAAGTTCTTCAGCTATTGTGTGTGGTCTTCCAGTTTTAGCTATTAGTTGAGAAACTTCAAATGAGGCCCTCACTGCATTTTTATTGTTACAGTCAGTCAGTGTCTTTTGTACCATTTTCTTGCTTTCCTGAAGCTCAGGCTCCTTACTTTTTTTAAAAAATGATGCTTTTTGTGGTATATTCTTTATGTTATATTATTGAGATGTCTTTGTAATTTTGGTGTTCTCATGGCCTCATTGGTCAATATCTTGTGACACAGCACATGCTGTGGTAGTTGTTTTTCCTTGGGACCTGTACATTTGCTATAACATCAACACTTTTAAGATGACCGGAAGAAGCATTATTTTGCTTTGAGCAGGATGACCCCTCATCAACACCATCAGTTCTTTTATGTTTCAAATTCAGCCAGTGAGCCATTCTGAGGCTCAGCCAAAACGTGTGTGTTTAGTCATTTAGTCGTGTCCGACTCTTCGTGACCCCATGGACCAGAGCACGCCAGGCCCTCCTGTCTTCTACTGCCTCCCGGAGTTGTGTCAGGTTCATGTTGGTTGCTTCGCAGACACTGTCCAGCCATCTCATCCTCGGTCGTCCCCTTCTCCTCTTGCCATCACACCTTCCTAACATCAAGGTTTTTTCCAAGGACTCTTTTCTTCTCATGAGATGGCCAAAGTACTGGAGCCTCAGCTTCAGGATCTGTCCTTCAAGTGAGCATTCAGGGTTGATTTCCTTTAGAACTGATAGGTTTGTTCTCATTGCAGTCCAGGGGATTCTCAAGAGCCGCCT